CTGAAGGAACAATCTGAGACATCTTCAGGGAAGGAAGGAGGATGCTGATCTGTGATTCTACCTCCAGGGCAAGTCACTGAACCTCCCAGGGCCTCAGTTTCTTCATCTGCAAAATGGGGATAGCAATCCCAGGGTTGTTATAAGGATTAAGTGACTCCAACTGCAAAGCTCCAGGAACAATGTCCGGCACTTAGTATGCACTATAAGAGTGTTTGTTACACAAACCTTCTGGAATCTGCAATGATAATGACCAGGCGACACCCTAACACCACACTGGGGAGAGACTCTGCTTCCAAAGTCTGTCACACCTACTGTCCCATCTCACCCTGTCACAAACAATACCCAGAATCTAGCAGTCAAATACCTGTTGAATGAATGAATGACCAAATGAATGAGTGAATAAGTGAGGCGTACAGGATCTAAGCAATTAATACAGGGTTTTTTTTTTTGGTTTTTTTTTAAATGCATGGTTGTTAAGAACTCAGGATATGGAGTCACACAGACTCAAATGCTGGTTCCACTACTAAAAGTCAGCAAGGGAGCCTGTCACCTTATCTGTAACATGGGACAAATCACAGTACCTGGCTCGGACCTGGGAATTAAAGAAGATGTTGTATAACGCGCTCAGCAAATGCAAGCATAATTCTTCCCTCTGGATGCGGATGGCGGAGGTAAGGCCCACAGAGGCAAAGCTGGCAGAGGGGTCCGTGCTCACCTCCTGCCCTGCCCTGCCTGCAGGTTGAGCATGGCTTCCTCCTGGGTCATCTCACTGTGATGCAGAGAGCACAGGCTCAGTTTGAATTCGGGCTCAGCTGTACCCTTTTGTGCCACCTCCCTAGGCCTCAGTTTTCTCATCTGTACCAGGAGGACCATACTGCACCTCACTAGGAGGTTGTGCATTGAGGCCGCTAAGCCCAGGAAGTAGTCTTCAGCAAATGGCCAAGTTGGTATTATCATCCCTGCCTCTGGGCTCTAACTCTGGAAGCTTGCTGGGTGAAGCCTGCTTTGGTCCTTCCCTGCATCTACTCCAAACTCTGTGGGGAAAGGTGGCCGACCTGGAGGGCAGAGGTGGGCAGGCAGCCTGTGGTGAGGGAGACAGGCCCAGGTGAGCTAGGGGCTCAGGCAGGAGGGGTGGTAGCAGGAGGCCAGAGCTGCTCTCAGGAACTGAGGGTCCAGACAGGTCTGGCCTCTTGGGTGCAGGAGGCTGGACAGAGAAGGCGGTACCCTGGAAACACCCTTGCATGTGTCTAGGGAGATGTAACATCTAGGCTCATGAGCAGCATGGTCCCGCGGGGGCTGTGGAGGCTTGAGAGAAGGAGGAGGAGGAAAGGACAGGAAAGGGGTACCTCTAGCTCTGGAGTGCTAGGCTGAGACCCTAGACTTTGTCCCAAAGGCCCTGAGGAGCTACAGAATCCTCCTGAGTGGAGGAGTAACCTGGTCAGACTGCTGGGGTTTATCTGCCCCACATGTAGGACAAACGAGAGGGAGAGAATGGGGACAAGGGTACGGGGTGGGGGCAAGTACAATTCCCTCCTGGCCTCTGATTGGCCATGTGAGGTCAGGGATAGAGGACACATGCCAGGCAAGGCTAGCATAGCCATCCGAGATGCCCTGGGAGGATGCCTAGGGCAGCCTGTTCCATGTTCCTTTCAAAGGATTGCCAGAGCCAGTGAGTCAGGCAGCGGGTGGGAGGGTAAGGCCTTGGGAGGGGAGCTTTGGTCTTCTGGGGCTGTGGGGTTTCTTATGTGGCACTAAGACCCCCAGCTCAGAGAAGCTGAAACTGTGGGGAGGCAGGAACTGAGGCAAGGATCCCAGGAGAGGAGGGCCTGGTGGGGGCAGAGGGAGAGGTCACTCGAGGGAGCCGACACAGCGTAGGGGACCCAACTGGGCCTGGGAAGCAGCTGGCCACTATCCAGGGCTCTCTTCAAGGATTTGCTATGAGAGCTGAGCAAAGTATGTGAACCTCTCTGGGCCTGTTTCTTCCAGTTTATTTTCAGTTTCACATTTCAAAGTTGGAGAGAATGGTACTGCAGGTACTGCCTTGGGTATTCCCAGTGCCCAGGGTGGGAAGGAAGAGGGTGCAGGTGCCCAAGGAAGAAGCTGGGCTCAGGACAGGACAGGCGCTTGGAAACCACCCACCCATGGAGGGAGGTGGGTGGTGCTCACATGTGCTTGGTGTTGTGAGGACACATCCACGCCCACACACACATGCAGGCTGCCAGCGCCCAGCCTCAGACCCCTGGGTGTGGGGCCAGGAGGAATGAAGTCAGTCTCAGAGAATCCGCTTTGGGCTCCCACACCAGGCCTGGGGGTCTGATCTCAAGTACAAGGCTTGGCCTTCCCTGGGCTGGGATTTTCCACGGTCCGGCTTAGCAGGGTGGGGAGGGAGGAACCAATGATGGGGGAGACTACTGCTCCCTCTCTGGCCTCTTTGTCAGCCCTAAACTAGCCTGCAACCCCCTCCCCAGCAAAAAACACACTCCCACCCCACACCCCCAATGATTAGGGGAAGGGGCACTTGGAGGGTACTGACGACCATCCCTTGCAGCAATGCTTAGACATTGCCTTCTCTGGAAGTCTCCCTGAGCCCCAGCGCCTGACTGGGAGGGCCTTTGTCTGGGCTCCCAAAGCCCCCGGCCCCGCCAATGCTTGCCTAATCACAGCACTGAGATGCCCCTCCTGCTAGACTTGCCCAGGGAAGGGCCTGGACTCGATGCATGTGAACGCACTCAGCTTGGCTCCTAGGATGCTGCCTTCAGGGGAGAAATGTTTCTGACCCAAAAGGAACTGTGGGGCTCAGGGGCAGTGGCCAGAGGCCTGCTAAGCACCAAGCACCCTGGCTCCAGACATGGCCTCGTCCTGTCCCATTCCCCTCTCAACCAACTGGCTTCCTTAAGAACTAACAGGCCAAAGAGAGGCCCTAGAAAACCCGCTGGCTTGGAGCCCAGATGCCAAGTCCCGGGCCTGCCTCTGCCAGTATTGTGGCAATTGAGGGCTCAGTTTTCTCTGCCCAGAGGTGGGGCCCATCAGGCTGAGCCTCATGCTGAGGTCTTGCATTCTAAGAAAAGCCACTGTAAAAGTTTTGCACCCTCTAGGTAAAACATCCTATACTCCAAGGGGCCCTAGGGCAGCTGATGCATGGCTGTAACATGCCCTTCTGCAGGGATGCTGCAAGTACCTGGTAAGGACCACAGCAGGTGGATGTATCCTTCATCACATCACAGAAGGACCTGCCATCTGATTTTTCCTGAGGTCTCACAGGTTCTTAAAGTGGGATTCAGCACCCAACTCAAGTGCTACACCTTGGACGTGAGGGAGTGGGTGCTCCCAGTGCAGAAACTCCTCTCCCCTAGTCTTGGCCTCCAGCAGTACCCAGGGAGACAGGCACCCCATCAGCAGCAGCCCCTCACTGAGGTCAGCTTGGCTGGAGACAAGGCATCAACCCTCTGCTGACAGAGGCTGAGGGGGAGGCTGGGGTGGTAGCACCTACAGTGCAGGGCACTGCGGGGCTCAGCCCTTAGTTGGTGGGCCAGGCACAGCAACCTCAATGGGGAGCAGAGAATCATGGGTAGAGGAAGCTGACAACAGCTTGAAAGAGGCAAAGTAAGGTTGGACTGCATAAGCATCTGGGATCGAGTGGAAAACCTTGACCAAAAAGCTATCTGTATGGAGAGGGTAGCAGGAAGGGGGATTCTCGGGCAGCAGGGAATGGCTGATGGCTGTCCAGCCTCAGCCAGACCCACCAGTCAACCCTTGTCACAGTAGCCCCATCTGCTAATAGCACGTGTGGAAGCTGCCACTCTGCTGTGTCCTCATGTGCAGAGGGCTTTGGCCTTCCCAAGAGGAGGATGTATCCTTATCCCCTGAAAAGCCAGAGGGAGATCTGTCCACAGCTGGGGCTCTCCCCAGGGGCCAGGACTAGGGTGAGTGGACGAGGCCGGTGAGGTGTTTTTCTTTTCTTTCTTTTCTTTTTTTTTTTTTTTTTTTGGCTTGGGGTGCAAAATTTTAGGGGATGCCAAAAAATTCAGTAACCGAGATAATATTTAACGTAATAGTTTTAAAAATCAAAATTAACGGAAAAGTCTGTGATTAATAAAATATCCAAATTTTAAATAAGGACAGGATCCATGTTGCTGATTTTTTAGCTTGCCTCAGGCTCCAATATGGCTTGGCGTACCACTGTTACGGACTTTATTTAAAAATGTGGATATTTTGTTTATCACAGAGTTTTGTTTTTTAACATTAATTCTGACTAAAAAAATACATCTCAATATTGCTCATCTCAATTATTGCGTTATTTTGATAGACCCTGAAATTCTGCACCCAGGCCAGTGCCTGACGGGTCTCTCTTGTCCCCAGCCTTGCAGACTCCCCAAGGGGGTCCCGACTTCCCCCTGGAGCACAGGCTCTCCAACCTCTTGCGGACTCAGGCCAAGCTCACACCATGCCCAGTGATGGGCAACTTGCCACACCTCCAGGGCACCCCTTAAGGCCACACTGGCCCTGACGACTCAGGTTTCTGATGCTCCTTGCCTCACCCTGTGAGCTGGCATAGGGCATCTCTAAGGGGGGAAGGAGATGCCCTCATTGGAATGAGGGAGAGGCAGAATGAGGGGTTCCTTCCTTTTGTCCTCAGATGACCCCACGCCAGGTACAGAAGACGCCTCCTCCCAAAGCTAGGCTAGTCCCTCCACCAAAGTCAGGATCAGAGCCCCACACCTGCCTGGCCAACCCCTGGCACTGATGATGCCTGGGTGCGGCTTAAGCTGGGAGGTGAGGTGCCAGGTGAGCTGCCAGGCTGTTGGCTGGGTCGGGGGAGTCGGGAGGGGGCGCTGCTCCGCGCTTAGCAGCTCAGAGGAGGCTTCCGGGAGAGTTCTGAGGAGGGGCCCGGCGCCCGGGGCAGTTCCCCGCGGCCAGGGGCGCGCGCCGCCAAAGGGGCGTCGGGGGTCGGGGGCGGTACTCACCGCGGCCGCTCTGGTTGGGCCGGTACACGCTGCCCACGCTGAGGCGGCCCTGCTGCGCGCCGTTCCGCTCCCCACCCGGCTGGGGCGCGTCGGAGCTGCGCACAGGCAGGTAGGGCGGCTCCTGCGCGCGCGGTGGCGCGTACGCCTCGGGGGCCTGGTTGGCGTAGGGCGGGTACCAGCCCAGGCGCGGGTCTCCGCCGTAGGCCTGCGCCGCGTCGGGGCCGGGGCCGGGGCCGGGGCCGGGGCCGGGGTCGGGGTAGGCCTGCTCGAAGCCCGCGGTGCCCTCGCTGTACAGGCTGTGCGAGTAGCGGCGGTCCAGGCCGTCGGGGGGCGGCGGCGGCGGCGGCGCGTAGGGCCTCTCCGGGGCCGGGTAGAAGCCCTGCGGCGGGTACTCGGGCAGCTCCTCGCCGCCGCCGTACTCCTCGTAGCGCGCCCGGGGCTGGTAGGGGTAGATGACCCCCGCCGAGGCCACGGCCGCCGCCCCCGCGCCCACGCCGCCGCCCGCGGGCCGGTAGTACACGAAACCCTGGTCGTAGGTCCGCGACGCGGGGTCGTAGTTCTCGTACTGGCTGACATAGGGCGCCTGCGGGTAGGGGAACTGCTGCGGGTAGGAGGGCGGCTGGCGGTAGGTGCTGGCGAAGGCCGAGGCTGAGACCGAGGAGGCGGAGCCCCCGTGCCGTTGCTGGGAGACGGAGGTGCGGGCCCGGGCCATGCCCGTGCTGTCCCCGACGGCCACCTCGCGCCAGTTGTCGGGCACCTGGCCGAAGCCGAATGGGTGCCGCGCCTGGCCGCGCACGGTGTCCGAGCCCACGCGCCCCGGCAGGGGCAGGGACGGCGCCTGCCGACGACGGGGGCTCCCGTGGCTGCGCCGCGGCTGGGCCTGGGGCGCGCCGGCCAGCAGCACCCGGGAGCTACTCTCAGACCGCGGAGGCCCGGGCGGCACGTACTCTGAGCCCGAGTTGAGCAGACTGTACACCTGCCCGTTGTTCTCCCACTGGATCAGCTGCCGCCAGCGCCCGGGGTCCGAGCCCTGCCCCGGCTGCGCCTGCTGCCCGTGCACCAGCACGCACAGGCAGGCGCCCCACACCAGGGCCCCCAGCTGCCGGCTGCCTCGGGCCAGAGCCATGGTGCCCCCTCAGCAGAGGCCGGGTGGACAGAGAGGCTCTCAGGCGTGGCCCCCTGTGCGCGCTTCTCTTCCCACGGCCTCGAGGACAGGAAGGCTCCTTGCTCGCTCCAGCTCTAGCTTTGTCCATGCTGGCCTTGTCCCGAGCGGGACGGCTCCTCCGATGACAGCATTTCGAGGCCAGAGGGTCAGGGCAGGGCAGAGGCGATGCCCAGGGCTGCACGAGGCTCTCCTCAGGGCACCGGGCGGGCAGGACCGCCTGTGGGCCTTACATGGCCAGCCTCGCACTGGCTGGCCGCTCGGCTGGCGCTTTCCCACTCTGAATGAATAAGCAACAGGCTGGGAGCGTCGGGAGGCTTCGGCCTCCTGGTCCGCCTGCTGGGGCCTCCTCCGCGGGGCCCTATGGCCCGCCGGCTTTTAGCTATGCGCCGGTCCCACAGCTGGAGTGCTCCCTCTGTCCCTAGGAGTTCCCAGCCAAGCCACAGACAGGCCTCTGAGGAAGGGAATCAAGCAGGGAGTAGGAGGGGGCCTCTGGGGACTCGGGCCTGGTAAGTGGGGGCTCTGGCAGGCAGAAAAGGGCTGGGGTGTCAGCAGCACCCTCCCCATTCCTCTCTGCTTTGGACGCAGTATCCCTGGTCTCCACCTTGCTCACTCTCTAATTCCGGGGCCCAGGTGCACGTCAGCTCTTGTACCCACATAGAAAGGCACTGAAGCTGCAGCTTTTCCCTCGTGTCCCACCTCAGGGCCTTACTTTCCCAGTCTGAAGAGTGGGGTGTGTTCCTAGGCTGAATAGCGCTTGTGAGATCATGGGAGAGATCAACGTCCCACACATCACATATGGGCTCTGTTCTGCATCTCTTCCTTCTGCATAGCCTGGGAATAACTTGAGTGTACACATGGATAAAATGAAACCCAGGGGCTGTGTTTGATATGGGACAGGGGTCACTGTGGGGCAGAGAAGCCTGTAAGCATCGAACAACAGAAGGGGGGTTTCCGGAGAACGGGCCTGGCCTTGTGGCTGTGTGGCTCGTCCCTTACTCTGTCTGATCCAGCTGCCACATCTGACCAATGGAAGATTAGGCCAGATGGTTCCTGAGAGTGTTTTGGGAGATTCTGTGTTCCTTCTGGGAATGGCAGGGATAGGAGGGGTCCCAGAAGTTTGAACACTTTGGCATCCAAGAAATTGCACTCCAAATGCTGCTCTTCAGGCCTCCCCGGGGCTGCCTTCTCCAACCATGTTCCTGGGAACCAGAGGGCAGAAATTGGCTTCTTGTGCTTATGAACAAGGTAGGAAGGACCTGTCCTTAATTCGGCCCCTGTATATTCCTTCTTCTTTTAGAAACTTCTGGAGCCCACCTAGGGAGGAGGCAACTAGAGTGGACATTCCTTGGGAACTGGGGGCCTCCCAACCCCATGCTCTCCAGGTAGCATTTGTTCACCCATTGCATTGTTCTTCAGGACTGGGGCTTGGACTCCTGCATGCCTCTGCCCTTTAAAGGCCTAGAATCAGCCAGGAAGGCAGGGGGCTTCCAATACCTCCTGGCCAGCAGCCTGTCAGTGCTGACACCTCAGCTCCCCACCATGGGGTTTCCATCTCAGACTGCAGACAAGATTCCTCCAAAGAGCCACTGGTGTGACTGACACCAAGCAAGATGCTGAGACAGGGCTCACTGAGGGCTGGGACCTGGAGGGTTAAGCCTTCCCTCCCTCCTGCTTGCCCCCTGCAGTGTTGGCCGCTACTGCTTAGAATCCCTGGGGTCCTGTAGGGCCCTCCCGCCAGCCAGATGGGCAGCATCGGCTGCAGAGAAGGAGGAGAAGTGGAAACAGGCCTCTGGGTACCCCTAGGCAGGGAGGGAAGGGAAGAGGAGTGGAGGGAGGACAGGATGGCTGTGAGGATGGGAACTCAGTTGCCCTGAAGCGGAGGCAGGACCCCTCGCCTTGAGTCAGACAGCAGGGCAGGGACTGCTTCAAGGCTTTGGGTGTGTGGGGATCCAGGCACAGGCCACTCCATTCAGCTGGCCTCGGAGCCAGCTCTTGGCTTGAAACCTTACCCGATGCTGGCTCCTGCTCCTCTCTCTTTTTTCTTAAGGTAGAATCAGAGTGAGTCAGAGGAGCCAAGTTTCCTGTTAGGCTCTGTTTGAATAAACTCTGAACATAGCTTGGGCCTCTGCACAGATTCCCCTGGCCAGGACTGCGGTCCTGCGAGCCATCCCTGCTGAGATGGAGAGCTGGGGGTCTACACTATGACTTGAGCTAGGGACCTGGCCTGGCTCAGCCACTCCTTAGGAAACCTTTCTCAGCTCTCAGAGCGTTAGAGTCCCGTCTGTGACCTGGGGGTAATCATACTTTCTTGTGGCATATTTGGGAGGATGGAATGAGAGGATTATGAAAAGTCCCCAGCACAGAGCCAGACATGTGGCCACTATTTTCTTTCTTTCCTCTTGACTTGTAAGAGAAGGGAGGGGTTTCTCTCTTTGGGGCGACCCCCACTCCCACTTCCTCTGTCTTTCCTGTTTTTATCTGTCTTCAGCATCTTTCCTTGCCCAGGACGAACCTTGTGCAGGGGGGCCAGAGGTGGCTCCTCTGCCAGAGCTGTCCTCTCCCTTTGTCTCTACTCCTTCCCAATGACCTCATTCTGCTTGGGTCTAGGTCTCCTGCAGTGGCTGACAGGCCCAGCAGCTCTGTGAGCCCAGGGGAGCCTGCCTACCTTCACCTCTCCTCACACGGGGCGTAGCCTTGCCTCAGTGGCTAGAGGTGTCCTAGCATCCTTAGGTTGAAACCTGCAGGGTGAGGGCCTAAAGAGACCTGGGCAGGCTATGGAGGGTACAGAGCCTGGGTCAGATGAGGGCTTGGACTCCAGGCTGGTCTGGGCCAGAGCTGTCTGGGGGGAGGGCAGCTTCTCTCTCTGCCTGTCCCTACAGGCTGGGATTCACACCCACTTTTTTAAGACTCAGGCATGTGCTTGAGGCTTGTTGCCAGTTCCTGGCACTAGGAACCAGCATCAAAGGCCCCTCGGAGGGCTGGTGATAGAAGGCTGAAAGGGCCTGTTGATCACGCACGACTTGATTAAGCCCCTACCGCGTGCTCAGCTCTGTGTTGATGGGCCTCCCACGGAGGAGCCAGGGTCCTGTGACCCTGTCATGGAGGTCCGGGCTCTGGAAAGTCCATGGGGGAGGCAGGAAGCAGTAGGCCTGACCAGCAGTGGGTCTTGGGAGCAGAGAGGGGTCAGGAGCTGTGGGATTCCTCACTTGCTTTGCAGAGGGAAGGACCAGGAGGCCCATTGTGGGTTGGAATTTTCTGTGGTTGTGGGGAAGCCATGAGAGCAGGCCCTGGGGCACCCAAGCCCTCCATCTTCCGCACTGCACCGTAGATGGGTTTTGGGCTGCACTGGGAATCCAAGACCCAACCCAGGCAGCTGCTGCCTCTGGAAAGCCGGCTGGAGGAAGTGCTGAGTGAGGAGGCTGGGCAAGCTGGCACAGAAAGTGCTGACTCTGCAGGGAGAGGACCACCGAGTGACCACTGCCAGCTGGGCCCCTGTGTTCACCCCTCCCCCGCAGCCACATCTGGCACAATGGTGGGGAGGGGGACCCAGTCCCCAGGGCCGGGGCAACCGAGGAGGGGGCCTGAGGAGGGGGCCAGAGCCGTGGGTTTGGAAGTATTTCTTCAGGGCTGGAACTCCACTCTGGAAGTGGGGGAGGTGAGGTCAGAGCCTTTTCGAGGGACTAATGGGGTGGGGGATGGAAGGAACCCACCCTTCTCTAGGACCCAGGGGAATTCTGTGGCTCTGGCCACTTCCCAGTTGGTTTCCTCCCAGCTCTCCCAGCCCCTTCTCCCGCGGCTCCCAGGGGATTTGGAAATAACAGAGCTGGGCATCCTGGTTGGGCTCTGTGGAGGCGGGAAGCCCCTTCGGGCCCTTAGAGCTTCTCCCCTCCCTGACTTTCACCCCTCCCCAGATTCTGGGGCAGGCGGGCTCTGAGTGGCTGCAGAAAGTTTAACCTTCTTGTCTCTACCTCCACCTGCAGCCCCACCCCGACCATAGGTGGGAGCGGGGAGGATTCTGTGTAGTTTTCTGGGGCCTTCTGGGTGGGAAGGCCCTGAGCTGGCGTTCATGGGGGTAAGGGGTCAACTGCAATTGTGCCCTACCTGAGGGAGAGAACTGGCAAATCCAAGCAGGGCACCAGGCCCTTGGGACACAGCCCAGCAGAGGCCTGCAGAAACTAGGAGGGAAACTAAGGCAGGAACCCCTGATTCTGACTACTAACATCCTGACAAGGATAAGGGAGGGCTTGCGCGCGTGCTCTCGTTCTCTCTCTCCCTCTCTCTCTCTCTCTCTCTCTCTCTCTCTCTCTCTGTCTCTGTCTCTGTCTCTCTCTCCTTTTCGTCTCTGTAACTTTCTCTGGGACATCTCTGGGTTTCTTGAGCTTTTTGGTTTTGCTTTTTTAAAAAGCATAATCTTGGTATGTTCCCCAGGCTGGAGTGCAGTGGATTCACAGCAGCCCTGAACTCCTAGGCTCAAGCCGTCCACCTGCCTCAGCTTCTGGGACTGCAGGTGCACACTACCAGGCCTGGCTCTCTATAGCTTTTAAATTTTCCGCAGTAACCTCCCTCCATCTTACGCATTCATTTTCTGTCTGTGGCCCTCTTTGTGATTTGCAGCCTCCATCTGTCACCATCTGTTTCTGTTCTTCCTCAGCCCTCTTACACACTGCCTCCCTTCGTCTCTATCTGCTGATGTTTCTCCCAATGAACGATTCCTTCATTCATCCACTCACTCACTCGCTCAGCATGTTCCCTGGGCATCTGTGGAATACCAGGCCCTGTGCTGACTACAGTCAGACCTGCCAAATCTCCAGCGGGTACCCAGGCTGCTGGGGGTGTCACAAGTGGTAGTCCTGGGTGGAGGTGAAGACATGGCACTGACTCTCTGTGACCTTTGAGAGGCAGTTCTATTTCAGTCTCCTCGTCTGTCTGTCCGCCCATTTACCCATCCATCAATGTCTGCAGTGACTCCGTCCCTGGTTCACCTTCATGAGGTGGCTTTTTCTGTGCTTTCTGCAGAGCTCACGCAGTTGACTTCTTTCCCCATGGTGGAGGTTGGTAGTAGAGCTGGAGAAGCGGAGGTGGTGTGGGGCGAGAGTGGAGGTGGGTGATGGAAATGTCGGAGGTGTTCCAACCAGAGGGACTCCATCTTGAATGGGGCTGGGTAAAATGAGGCTGAGACCTGCGAGCTGCATTGCCAGGAATCTAAGCCTTGGTAGTGACAGGGGATTTGGAAATGACAGAGCTGATATAGCACTTTATATCTAACAGGATGGGACAGGAGGTCACAAGATACAGGTCATAAGGACTCCACTGATAAAATGGAATGCAATGAAAAAGCCAGCCAAAACCAAGATGGTGGTGAACATGACTTCTGGTTGTCCTCATTGCTCTGTGTACCCTAATTATCACATAATAGCTTGCTAAAAGACCCTCCCACCAGTGCATGACAGTTTACAAATGCCATGGCAACATCTGGAAGTTACCTTATATGGGCTAAAAGGAAGAGGAGCCCTCAGTTCTGGGAACCCCCTACCTTTTGCCCAGAAAACTCATGAATAATCCACCGCTTTTTAAATATGTAATAAAAAGATAGGCATAGATGACTGCTAGCCAGGGGCCACTGGAGACTGGTTTTACCCAGCTGGGGTCTGGGAAAGGAAAGGGCCCCAGGGTGATGAAAGAAGAATAGAGATGAGATATCAGCAATCTCTCCCTTAAGGTTTTTTTTTTTTTATTTTTATTTTTAATACAATGTTTAGTCTCAGATTACAAAAGAAATAGAATACAGAGTAAAAGAAAAAATAATTAATTCTGTAACCTAGGAAAGAACTGTTCTAGGCTCCACCTCCCCCCCACACTCATTTAAAAAAACAGTTAGGATCATAATGCCTGTGTGATTTTGCAAGCTGCTTTGTTTGCATAACAGCAGTTGTCGAACATTTCCTTGTGTCACCGTAACTGCCGTGACCCAGTTCTGCTTTCAGTGTTCGTGTTGATCACAGGAGCTCCTGCATGCCTAGATGAAAAGGAGGTCAAGACTTTATCCCCTACCCCCCAAAATACCCTCTCTGTTCCGGAGTGGTGGGGGGGCTGGCTCCTAACAGCCCCTCCCCTGTTAGGACCTTGTCTCCTTCAGGACTGGACCTTAATCCTGGGCCTGTGGTCAGATTGCCAGTTTCACTTAGAGGTGGAAATGTCAACCCCCTGTTTGGAGTGAAAAGGCAGGTGTGGGGCGGGGGAGTACCTTCATTTCTATCTGCCCAGGAGGCCAGCCTCTTCCTGCCTAGGCATTTCCTTCCTGCGGTATGGGAAGGACCAGGCTTTCTCAGACCGTAGAAGGTTGAGAGCCAATTCCGTGTGGAGCAAGTGGTGGCTACCAGCCTTGGGTCTACATAACTAGGGCTCCACAGCCTTCTTGTGTCCCCCTAGGAGGAAAAACACCTGGCAATTTAAATTTTTAAAAATAACTTTAAAAAACATTGGTATAGCACACACACACACCCACAGAAAAGTCCACAGATCCTAAGTATACCACTAGATGAATGATCCCAACGGGCACACACCTCTGAAGTTAACACTTGGATCAAGAAACAGGACATCGCAGCAGCTGGCAGCTTCCAAGGAGAAGCTCCAGAAAGTTCGGCCTGTCTCAGCACCTGGCTGCATCGGAAACGACTTTTCTTTAACAAGATTTTTAATGACTGACTGATGTGGACAAATCATAACTGAATGAATAACCTCCTTTGTTAATTTTCTTCTAATAGCAAATAAAGTTGCTGTTATAAATGGTGCTGTAATAAGCACCCTTGAAGAAATCTTCATGTCTGCCTCTGCTGTATAGCAGGTCACAGTGCCCGGGTTTGGTTCTAGCTCTCGTTTGTGAACTCTGTGACTCACCGTGCCTTTTTTTCTTTCTGTAAAATGGAATAATAGTAAGAATTTAAATGGGGTAACATGGAGTGGGTTTAGTTCAGAGCCTGGGTTTAGCTGAGAGCAAGCACTCAGTAAGTATCAGCGATTTGTAGACTCTTAGATTAATTTATCAGAAGTTGGATTTGTGGTGAAAGGGTTAGAGTGTTTTTAAGGCTTTGGCACAAAAAATACCCATGTGCTCCCAGAGAGGTGGTTCCCATTTACCTACCTGAGCTGCCCTCACCCTTTCTGATACTGGACACTCTTTTCAAAAAGAATATTAAAAATTGGATAGGTTAAAAACAAGCGTACACATTTTTTGGTTGCATTTTTTTGGTTACCTGTGAGAGTGAACATGTTGCCTTCTGTTTATCGCTCTCCTAAATGGTCTACTTGCTCCTACCTTTGTACCCCAGAAGTCTGTTCACAAGACGGGAGCCAGAATGATCCTTTTGAGACACCAAAATTTCACTCATCTGTTCTGCAGTGGTTCTCAGGTTAAAAGCCAAAGTCCTGTTCAAGGCCTCCCAAGTCCTCACGATTTGGTCCCTTGCTCTTTCTGTTCCAGCCACCTTGGCCTCCTCCTGCTCTCCCGCCACACCATGGCCATTTCCCCTGCTCTTCGTAGTCAACTCCCTGAACTTGTTCAAAGCTTTGCTCAAATGTCTCCTTTCTCATGAGGCGCCACCAGCCCCTGAGTTCCCTATACCTCACTCTTGATGGCCTTACTTCACTCTTCTTTCTTTTTTTTCTGATAGTACTTATCACCTTCTAAAATACTTCATGTTTTACTTATTTGTTTGTTTGTCTCTCTCCAGTAGAATGTAAGCTCCTTGAGGGCAGGGACCTTTGTCTTTTTCACTCCTGTGTCCCATGTGTAAACTTGTCTGGCACAGAAGAGGTGCTCGATAAATATTTGTTGAGTGAATGAATGGTAAATTTTCTGCTCATATTCTTTGACTATTTTCTATTGCAATGTTCGTCTTTTAGTATTGGTTTATAAGATGTAGTATATTTAGCCCCTTTTCATATATCTCTCTTTGTCACATATTGTGCAACTAATTTGTCATTTCCATCAATTTCTAAAATACTTTTCTTGATGCTTCATTTTTAAGCTGTCAGATTATTAATCTTTTCTTTATGGTCTTGGACTCTATTGTGGCATGACTGTTGCCTTCACCGGGAACATATAAATTTTCAATTAAATGGCCGGGTGAGGTGGCTAACGCCTGTAATCCCAACACTTTGGGAGGCCGAGGCGGGTGGATCACGAAGTCAGGAGATCGAGACCATCCTGGCCAACATGGTAAAACCCCGTCTCTATTATTAAAAAATATATATATATAAAAAAGAAAGTAAATGTTCTTCTGTGACTTTATGATTTTATTTTACTTTTTTACATTAAACTCTTTATCTTCATGTGTGGTAAGAGGTAAGAACATAACTTTAAAGCAAATTAAGCAGCTATCCCCAAATGAATTATAAACAAATTGATCATTTCCCAGTGCTCCGAAAGGCCATTTTATCATACACCAAATATTTTCGTGTGTTTGACAGGGTTTACCATTCTGTTCCATTGGCCTATCACATCATTCTTACATTGGTGTTTGTTGCCCTATTTTAATAATTGTAACTTTTTAATAAGAGTTAATGACTGAGAGGACAAGTTCCATTGTTTTATTTTTAATTTTTTTGAGACAGGGTCTCACTCTGTCACCCAGGCTGGAATGCAGTGGTGCTATCTCGGCTCACTGCAGCCTCTGCCTCCCTGGTTTAAATGAGTCTCCCGCCTCAACCTCCCGAATAGCTGGGAGTACAGATGTATGCCACCACGCCTGGCTAATTCTTGTGTTTTTAGTAGAGACATGGTCTCACCATGTTGGCCAGGCTGGTCTTGAACTCCTGGCCTCAAGTGATCCATCCACCTCAGCCTCCCAAAGTGCTGGGATTATAGGCTTGAGTCACCACGTCTGGCCCATTTTTTTTTCTTTTGAAGTGTTCTTTGTGGTCATTTATATATTCTTTAAGATAAATTCTAGACTTTTTTTTCTGCCAAGATAAACCAGCAAACAAAAATCTCACTGGGCACTGCAACTGACTTTGTTTCGTAGATTAACTTAGTGATAATCAACTTTTTTGCACTGTTGAGTATCTCTGTCCAGGAACATGGCATATCTTTCTGTCATTAAGGTCTTTTTTATTATAGTTCTTTAAGAAAGCTTTAGTTTATAGATGAATGTAGTGTGTTTGCTGCTTATTTTCATAAAATATAGCAGTGACGTCTGTGGCAGGCAGCTTCTGAAATGGCTCCCAGTGATCCTTAGCTTCTGGTAGTTACTCCCTTGTAGGATCCCTTTCCTTTGTGTATGGGCTGGATCTAGTGACTTGCTCATGAATAGAATATAGCAAAACAAAGAAAATGATGGGTTGTTACTTCTGAGATTAGGTTGTAAGAGGCTAATTTCTATTTTGCTGTAACTTTGTCTCTCTGACCCTCTTCTTGCATGCACTCATGAAGCAGCTGCTGTGTTGTGAGCCAGCTTATGGGAAATGCATGTGGTGGAGAACCGAGGGTGGCAGCTTGCCAACAGCAAGCCAGGAGCCAAGGCCCACAGCCCAAAAATTGGTGAGGAACCACAGGCTGCTAACAGGCATGTGAGGAAACTTAGAAGCAAATCCTTCCCCAGTTGAACCTTCGGATGACACCAGAGCCTTTGCTGACCCCTTAATTTTGCCCTTGTAAGAGATGTTGAGTCAGAGGACTTGGCTAAACCACACCTGGTGGATTCCTGACTTACAGAAACTTGAGATAATAAATGTTGTTTTAAGCCACTCAGTTTTGGGTTAATTTGTTACATAGCAAAGATAACTAATATAGTCCCCCCCCTTTTTGTATCATATTTTCTAACAGTTTATTAGGAAATGAAGAAGTTATTTTAGGCTGGGCACAATGTCTCACACCTGTAATCCCAGCACTTTGGGAGGCAGAGGTGGGTGGATCACCTGAGGTCAGGAGTTCAAGAACAGCCTGGGCAATGTGGCAAAACCCTGTCCCTACTAAAAATACAAAAATTAGCTGGGCATGGTGGTGTGAGCACCTGTAGTCTCAGCTACTTGGGAGGCTGAGGTGGAAGAATCGCTTGAGCCCAGGAGGCAGAGATTGCAGTGAGCCAAAAGCACCCCACTGCCCTCCAGCCTGGGTGACAGAACAAGACCTTGTCTCAAAAAAAGAAAAGAAAAGAAATTTTATAACTAGCCACATTAATATAAACCCTTATATTTTGATAAGTTTGTATTTTTGTAGTTTTTTTATGGTAGGATAATCATATTTGTAAATAATTATAATTTGTTTCCCTCTTTTTGATGTTTTATATCTAATTGCATTAGCTAAGATCTTTAGAATAATGTTAAATAACAAGCTATTAGAACTCTTCATCTTGTTCTCAGATTTGATGGAATGCTACTTGTATTTTACTCTTGATTTTGGCTGTTGGTTTGAGATTTATTTATTTATCATGTGAAGTAAGTATATTTTGATTTCCCATTTACTTGAGCTTTTAAAAAGAAAATCGGAAATGGATGTCGCAATTGACCAAACATCTATTCAGTATGTAAAATGATCTTTTTCTCCTTTGACCTATTGCTGTAGCAAATCAGCTCACTGCCATTCTAATATAGAGTTATCCATGCATTCCAGGAATGTTTGCTCATGGTGTATTCTTTTAATACATTGTTGACATACATTGGACTTGATCTGATTAAATTTTCATGAGGACTCTACATCTGTATAAATGAGGCTGGTGTATGAGTGTATGACTCATTCATTCTGTCTCTCTTTGTGGCATTCTGGCTTTATGAAAAGAATTGAGAAGAGTTTGAGTTAAGGTCCTGGCAAGAAACACTCACTCAAGATGGTTTAACTAAAGAGACTTTAATGAAGAGACTGCTTATAGAAATCTGGATAAGGGGGCTGGTTGTGATGGCTTATGCCTGTAACTCAGCACTTGAGGTGGGTGGATTACTTGAGGTCAGGAGTTTGAGACCTCCTGGCCAACATGGCAAAACCCATCTCTACTAAAAATACAAAAAATTAGCCGGGCATGGTGGTACATGCCTGTAGTCCCAGCTACTCAGGAGGTTGAGGCAGGAAACTCATTTGAACCCGAGAGGCAGAGGTTGCAGTGAAGCAAGATGGCGCCACTGCACTCCAGCCTGGGTGACAGAGTCAGACTCTGTCTCAAACAAACAAACAAAAAGGAAATGTGGTTAAGGTTAGGGAACAAACAAGGGATGATGAGGTACCCAGAGACTAGACATTATGGTGAATGTTACCATCCTTACGGCTTCAGGGACAATGGAAGGAACCAGTGTGACTGGAGCCCAGGTAGAGCTGGGACCTTGGAGAAGAGGTGCAGGCAAGAGCTGAGCTTTGGAGGAACAAAGGCTCTGCCAGAGACAGGGCATGAAAAGAGGCAAGGCACAGATGAGACACACCAGCCCTTCTCACCTCCCGCCTTCCACACCCTTGCCCATACCCCCTGTGGTCTGACCCAGCAAGGGGCTGGAGGACAAGGGATCCCGGGTGATGAATGCGGTTTGTGGGGCTCCGGGCTGGGCAGGGAAGGAAGTGGCCCTGGTGTGATTTCTGTCTCCTGACTGATACGTGCATAACCATGTGTTTAACATGTTTTTAATATTCACTTCCAGGGCTTTTATACAATTTCTCTGTGTTGATTTGTTTTGTTTGTTTGTTTGTTTGTTTGTTTCTGTTTTGTTTTGTTTTGTGAGAGAGGGTCTTGCTCTGTTGCCCAGTCTGGAGTGCTGCGGCGCTATCACAGCTCACTGCAGCCTGGACCTCTTGGGCTCAGTCCATCCACCCGCCTCCTGAGTAGCTGGGACTACAGGCTTGTGCCACCGTGCCTGGCTAATTTTTTAATTCTTGTAGAGATGGGATTTTGCCATGTTGCCCAGGCTGGATTTTTTTTTTTTTTTTTAAATTTAGAGAATTAATTTGGGCCAACGTTGAGAACTGTAGCCCAGGACTTGTTTTTTCACTCACTATTATTTTGATTATTTTGACTCTTGCTGACTTGGAAAGAGTGCCTCTCTTGAGTATTTTTTTCCCCATGAAAAGTAGAACCATGCATGGCCTGTGTCCTAAGTTTTGACATGTAGGAAAGTCTTTTTCTGTTGCCTTCATGCATGAATGCACCAGGCAAGTTGTTAAAATGTGAGGTCACAGCTGATGTCTCAAAATTCTATAGAAGAGTGATTCCCAAAATGTGTTCTATTAAACACCAGTCTTACCATGTAGTCTATGGCAAAGGATTTCATAGTCAAATAAGTTTGGAAAACTGCGCTTGCTAATATTGCTGGTTTAACAATGTGCATGAACACATTAAAAGTCCTGAGAAAGCCTCAGCATAGGGTTTATCTTGTTTTGTTTAATTCAGCATTTCCCAAGCTTATTTTATGATGGAAACTTCTTTCCCCAGCATAGTTAACCAAATTCCATGGACTCTGTCTTCGAATTACACACTTTAAGCAATGTTGGGCTGGGTGTTGTGGCTCACACCTGCAACCCCAGTACTTTGGGAGACCGACACGTGAGGATCGCTTGAGCCCATGAGTTCAAGCCAGCTTAGGCAACACAGTGAGACTACCATACCTACAAAAAATCAAAAAAATTACCTAGGCATAGTGATGCATGCCTGTGATCCCAAGCTACTTGGGAGGCTGGGGCGAGAGGATCTCTTGAGCCTAGGAGGTTGAGGCTGTAGTGAGCTGTGATCACACCACTGCACTCCAGCCTGGGTGACAGAGTGAGACCCTGTCTCAACAACAGCAACAAAAATTAATGTTGCAGATATTTCTCCATATTTCTCTCTGCATGGGTGCTGACAGAATTCTTTCTTTACCCTTGCAATTCAGAAATTCTGCATGGCATTTCCAAGTGTTCAATTCTTTTTATTATTATATTTATTATTTTTATTATTTTATTATTTTTATAATAATTTATTTCAAGTGTTCAATTCTTTTTGTTAACTTGACTTAAGGAGGAACCTTTTAAATGTATAAGCTCAGGCTTCTCATCAGCTCAGGCATAT